CTAGAGGCACCATAATAATACACTTTTCCCAACATTTTTTTTTTCACTTTGTGGTAATATTTTGAGGCACAACCAAAATGAATCTTATCTAAAGTTTCAATCACCATCATACCTCCATCTTCGGGCAAATCGGAGGTCCAGAGAGTCAGATTGTCTCTCAACAGCTGCATGATCAAAGTGCTGTCCTTGTATGACTCTTCACTCAAGGTGTCTAACTCAGCAATTGCTTCATCAAAAGCTTGCTTAGCCAAATGACAGGCCCTGTAAGTTTTATCAATAACTTAGTCTAAATGTCATTAACATGAAAGCTGACAACATATACATAAGCAATTGGGGGAATCCATAAATGTCATAGGAGTGTTGGAAAGCACAAGGGTGTGTAATAAGTGAGAAAGTCCTAAATTTTAGAAAAAGAGTGATACTTTGTGAATATGGATGGCCCAAGATGTGAGGCTAATTATGATGCATAAACACAATGACATGGACCCCCTCTGTCGCATTAAAAATAACTTGATAAGTATATGGCTATTTTGATACAATGGATTTTAATTCACACCAAACCCAATACTTTCAACCCCAAATGACAACAGAGAATCAAATAACTTAAGTTTTTGCTTTCAGATCCTCAGTAACTATGCTTCTATACAACAAAATAAATAAAGACCTTTCAGGAGAGTTCATTATCTCATAATAGAAGACTGAGAAGTTGAGTGCAAGTCCAAGACGGACTGGATGTGTTGATGGAAGATCTGTGTTTGCTGCAGCTAAAGCAGCCTGACAATAATAGTTTGAACATCAAACAACGGCACCAAATATTGATGAACACAATAAAGTACATATGAAAGAGTTCATTGGTGAAATGAGAGATCTTAGACACCAACCTCATATCCCTTCAGTGAGTGCTCAGCTGCCTCCTTTCTTTCTTGATCGGTCCTGAACTCAGCTAGATATCGATAATAGTCACCTTTCCTGGAAAATGAATTGATTAAGCTCAAGAAATCAGATACATAACCTACGTATGCTAAAGCTAGCAAGAGATATATCATGATACACACAATCTTCTTTCTTTTTACATCATATTATTCACCATTTGTGTTTCGGATTCAAAACCCAGAAGGATAAACTGAATACCTCTGCAAAAGACAAGGATTTGAACCTTGTCACCCCAAAATTCCACCCCCATTCAGTTAATTTCATTCATTGGTTACTCCAAAGTAAATTAATTTCACTCGTACTAATTCACCCTTTCTGTCTCAAGGTATGTATTTTTTTTTTCTGACTATTTAAAGTGGGAGATTCCATTTAAACGAAAGAGTATTATAGTCATTAATTAAAAAATTAACTGCTAAAATTTTGGTTAAAAATGTAGTTAAATTATACTTTTTTTTTTATGTTTTTCATCTAAGAATCAAATTAAAAGTAATGTTTAATTTTTTTTACAAAAATCCATCCCATTAATTACTTCTCGGCAAAAATGTCTTTAAATTATTTCTCTAAGTCCAATAAATAGTTTTTAATTAAAGTATATTATTTTTAAATATCTATAAGTGTTTCATTAATCTTAAGCATAACCATGAAAAGTGTATAAATTTAAGGCATGTTTAATGTTATCAATTAAATTAACTAATTTTCTAAATATAAAAAACCAAATGGGTATAACTTTTAAAATCTATATATTCTTTATTTTTTAGAAAAGTAGTTCTAATCATTTCTAGAGTAAAAGGTAAAATTTAGATGCATTACTAAGGAGTGCTATGTCCAATTAGAATTATAATTAAAATTTCACTGTAGTTATATTTAATCAATAATAAGAAAAAGAGTAGAAAGTAAAATAAGATTGAAAAGAAGTGAATGATAGTGAACATGACCCACATCTTATAGTAGAAAACGGTGGCTTCTCCAGAAGAGGAAGAAGGAATGAGATGCTTGTCAATAATAGACAGAATATCGCTGCAAATTTTGGAGAGTTCCTCTTCCACCTTTTGACGATAATTTTTGATAATTTTAGCATTGTTCTCATTTCCTTTAGACTCTTCCTTCTGTTCAATTGATGACATAATGCGCCAAGAGGCTCGTCGTGCACCAATCACATTTTTATATCCCACCGAGAGCAGGTTTCTCTCTTCCACGGTCAGTTCTAGATCAAGTTTTGCAATTGCCTTCATGCATTCCACCATTTCTGCAGCATCACACAAATATATCACCATCAAAATTCAAATAATTTCGTTACATTTCGCATGTTAATGACCTTTTCCAACAATAATTCTAATCCATGACTCATCACAGGATCCATCATTAATCAAACAAAATCAATTAAATACGAACTGATTTAACCGAATCGTTTCAATTTTGTTCTCCTACATACCATGTGAAAGGATAGAAATAATCTAGAAGAAAAGATGTGTACGATAGAAAAAGCGATGAAGATGATGATGATGACCTTCATATCTCTCAGCTTGCTCAGAAAGCTTGGCGATGTAAACTTGTCGCTCTCTCTCCTTCTCCGCGTTCATTGTTGTATTGTATCAGGTTTGAAATTAGAAGCAATGTGGTTGTGGAGATGAAGAAGAAGAAGAAGAAGAATGCGAGGAAGAAGGGAAGGAAGGGTGGAGGTGTTTATATAGAAGGAATAAGTCTTGGGGGGAGAGGGTAAAACTGAATCTGTGCCGTTGGATGATTAATTTTGAACGATGAAAGAAAGGCGCGATTCCAAAGGACTGTGATCATGCTTAGTTGTTATTCTAGTTCCACTCTATTCTTAGATCAAACCAATCACCAAACCCAAACTTCTCGGACTTATTTAACATTATTTCAATCTTATTCATTTTAAAATTCACAATTATTACCATTTAATTACTATTTATTTTTACTACACATATTTATTCTTGTGACTTTTATCATAAAATCACATCAAGTTAACAGTAGTTACTAATAGCCAAAAAAATAAAACCAAAACACATGGAGACCAAAAATTTATATAAACATTTTTCTTTTTCTTTTTCAAATGAATTTAGCTTTCAAGTGTCATTATTATTTGTATATAATACAAATGATAATGTTCATATAATCTTTTATTAATTATTAGCTAAATTTTATCGAAGTTGCCTGAAATATTAAATATGTAATATTGTCCTTTTCTAGAATACTAAAACATAAGGTTTATTTATGAAGAAAATATTATATAACTAAGTTTGAATATGCTAAAAAAACATCATTAAGCTATAATGAACTAGTTCATTTAACTAAAAATATAATTTTTTTATATGAATGCAAAAAAATGTTTGGTTAGAGGGTTTTTGTAAATAATACCAGTTTAAAAATATTAATTTGATAACTAGTAAAACAATTATTTATAATTTTAGTTTATAAATGAAAGTATGACAATATGATGGTTTAAGGACCACATGAAACTTCATGATGTTATTACGACATTTTATGGGACAAAAAGATATACTACATATTTGATGGTGTATATTGTGTTCAAGTTTCGGAGCCCAACGTTGAACTTTGTTAGTGTATCTACCTATAAATGGCTTTGCTTATAAAGAACTTAGTCCATAAATAGGAGATATTTGATAAGAGAAAGGTTTTAGTTTCTTGAGAATTTAAAGTATTAGTTTGCTATGTTTTGTATTTAATTTAAAAGAAAAAATATTTTCAAGTTACATCAACTCTATAAAATGTTTCTCACATTTCCAAAAAACAAAAAGATCATATTGAAATTATTTTTTCTTAAATTAGAAGGAGAGTTTAAATGATGTAAAAAAGACCACTACATCATTCAAAGTAGAGAGATTGGGAATATAGTAACGTTGAATTTCAAGTAACAACATTAATAACCATATTAACATATATTACAATGTAAACTTTTTATAAAAATTACAAAAGAAAACGTCTAAATATAATTTTATTAAATTAATTTTTTAAAGATATCTTATTTATGTACAAGAAATGTGTTACGATAAAATTATTTATAAATATTATCACTGGTTTGTTTTGTAATTGTTTACATTAATCATTTAGAAAAAAATAAACATTTAATAATAACAGTTAAATAACTATCACTTGCAGAATTTAATTAATTTACATAAAGATGAAAATAAAAAATTATAAAAATTACATAATTTTAATTCTTCAAAAATAAATGAGTTATTATTTTATTAAAATTATTATTTTTTTAAAATAAAGTTATTAGTGGATATTAATTTTAGATCTATTATTTGCTTGCCTAAAAAGAGTATCTTGCTTTTAAAAAGAATGTTTGTAAGAGCATTACTCTTTCAAATGTTTTTCCTTTAAACTATTAAATTAAAAAACTCTGGAAAATTAAAAGTTCGAAACTCCTTGCTATGTCTATGTACATTATCCTTAGAATATGGGATGGAACACAGACAAGGGAAGGTTTGGTAACTGTTCCCACATTCATCAATCTCATGCCATTCACATTCTTTCTCAAAATTAGCGATTGTTCAACAGAAGTGATAGAATCCAATGATCGATAAAAAAATATTGGAGTAAAAATAAATAAAGAATGCTAACAAGATATTAGAAAAATGAATTACTACAAACTTAAAAAAAAAAAAAAAAAAAAAAAAATAGTGTAGCTAAATTCAACAAGAACCTTCACAATCTACAGCTTCCTCAATCCTCTAACCCGGTTGTGGACACGATTGAAAACGTCAAGGCTCTGAGCTTTGTATATACAAAAATGTGCCAACTAAACAATCCATTCTCTGAAATTGCACAACAGATTATTTCAGTTGCATGCTACAGGGGAATCTATTCACAAACTGCTGTGTCAATGACAAGAAACTGGAAAGACCGACAAAAGTTTTGTCTTGTCAGTGTATCTAAACTTTTTTTATTTTATACTAAATTAAATGCCCACTTTTACCAAAGTAAGATGTTACCATGTTTAGAAAAAAAGCTTAGAGGAATTACCAGAGCAAAAAATTTGAGTTCATTTATCATGATGAGATATACTAGCAATCCATCATCAATTATTTTTTCACAAAAGGTTTCTGGCAAACAAGTAGCCGCTGGTCACTGCCATTTTGAAGATCAATTATCCTTGCTTCCCAACGTACTTGTGTTGCCAGCATGCGAGCCATCTCAATAGCTCCCATAGTATCAGAAAGAATGACCCATCCCTACAAAAACGATTAAACGTAATAAAACAAAAGGCTTCATTGACCATTCCAATATACTGAGACTGAACTACCTGTATTCAGATGCACAAATCCAATAAATTACTACCTTTGGTCTACTATATAGGACCCCTTTAACCACTTCAGAAGAATTAGGGAATTTAGTAAATTTAATTAGTGATAAAATATTTGCCAACAATTTGTATAATTTTTTCAGAATTATCCTTAAAATTATTGGGATATCATTTTTAAATCTCTTTACAACCAATTAATTAAGGTATCCCTACTTAGGTAATGAAATTTTGCTTTCTATAGGAAAAGTAGTGAATGAAAGGGATTCTTCTGACGAGTGAGTAATCTTCGTCCATCCTCATGAGAGAGGATCTGGGTTCCACTAAAAATTTGGAAGGGGGTTTTATGATAAGAACTATGGAATACTTTCCAAGAGATTCCTATATAATGTACCAGAGGGAATATTTCAATGAGCATCATCACAACATACCTCTGGACGCAATATTCTATCCATCTCTAAGAACAAGTCTATCATGCTGCACCTCTCTGAGGAGAGATGAGAAAGAAGTCCATCTGCATGAAGCAAATCATATGTCCGGGGGTAGGTGGGGAAAGGTTCACACCTGAAGATCAATTTATAAGTAGTCAGATACAAAAATGAAATGAAATTACTCGGAAGTTCATATGCATTAACACTCCTTTGCGAAGAGGTTTGTCAATGAACTCCAAAGAAGAGTGTTCCAAAGAAGGGAGAGTTCACATAGTGAACTCCAAACAGGCACATGATGTTCTTTAGAATTGGGTTTCACAATAAAACTACGTCTACTTCCAATCCAATAGATCAAGTGCACGTATGCATCTTACGTGCATCTTCAAATTCAATCTCAAAAGAACAGCACAATAAAGAACATTGAATATTAAGCACTGAAGCTAGATAAAAAATATTGGTATATTATACCTGTTTTTCTAAGTTTTTTATAAAAGTAATTTTAAGAATGTATAAAAAATTATTTACTTTACAAAGATTTTATGAGACGTAGATACTATTTTTGTTTGGTTACAATTATAAAACTTTTCATTCTAACAGATAGTCTAATAGTTACATGCTTTTCTCCCCAAAAGCTACTCAAATAAGAAATCAGATTTTAAACAAACAATTTTTAAAAAATGCTAATTTTTTTCAGAATAAAAAAAAACTGAAATAAATGGACTCTCAATTAATAAGTCTACATTAGCTGATCTGATGACATTTACTAATTTACAAAATACGTTGCTGAAGAATTATTTTGTACATACATCACCAAATCATTGTCAATGCTGATATTTTCATTTAAGTAAATCATCTAAAACTACTGTCACTTTCCTAATTAACATACACCATTCTTCTCTCATCTGTCATAAGAATGAACTAATAATTATAAATCAAATAGCTTTATCAGGATTTAGTGATATTATCGGTTTATCACCCTCAAGTTCAACCGTCTTTAAAGTATATGGAAACCTTGTTTAGATTATGGTTTGACAAACAACTTTTCTAACAAGCAACTTACCAATCATGCATGACACCAGCAAAACCTCTATCTAGTATAAGAGGAAGTGAATTAGAAGCTCTGGAAGGAACCACATTCATGACCCACACTGACTTTTTCTCCTCCAGAAGGGCAGCATTCAACCCCCCATAATTAGCACTCATATCCATAACATTCCGGACCATGTTATATGGAGGGAATGGATCTTCATCTCCAAGTCTCTTTGGATGGTCAGAGAAAATTAGTGGCGTAAGTAACGACCAATAATTGTTAACAGCTGATCTCCAATGTTGTAAATCTTCATAAAATTCTTCAGGTTGAACTCCTGCAATAATAAAGAAAAATTCATGAAAAGGCAAATCATTACAAAAAGGAAACAAAATTTGGAGGGGTAGAAACAAGGAGAAACATATGCAGAAGAAAGCTGTTAAGAAACAATACTTTCCATGAATTTTAAGTTCAGACGAGCTCAATTCAGAAGATCTGTTTTGTATTGCAATCCAGCGCATGCTAGACATCCCACTTATACATGGCACAAGAGGCCTATAATATGACTGAGTATCCTCTCCTTCACATAGCTGTATAGTATACTCCTTACTACAATTAAGAAACAGATGTCACTGAAAACCTATAATTATAATGGAAAGTGTTCAATGAAGAGCCAGTAGCAAAACTATTCATAGTTGATAGTAGTTATCTCATATAATTCTAGTTGCTAAAATAATTATATATCATTTAAATCACCCATGTTACAATTATCCTTACCGAGATGCATAACAATCAACATCAGTAGTCTTCTGCCAGACAAAAGTTTCATCTTGCTGAGCTAAAAGAGTCCAGCAGAGTTGTTGGGTCAGCCCTTCTATTGGGTTTGACATTATTCTCTTTTTCTCTCGTGATGAACTCTGTGGTCTGCTTGTAGGTGAGGTTAAAACAAAATATCCTCCAGGTTTAAGAACACGATCAACTTCTATAAGAAACAATCCATCTGTAGGATGAAGTCAATGTTAGAAAGCAAAGGACAGCAGTTCATACAGAAGCTAAATGATATTCACTTAGAGAATAGTCATGGAATAATGGAAAGCGTGTAAGGAAATGGTAATGATATGGAGAGAGAGAAAGAAAAGGATAAAAAAATTGTCACATTCTCATACAATCGTTTCATACACCTATTTTCAGCCATCAATTCAATTGGTGACAAACAAATTAATAAAAAATGAAATTGTAAGCAATTTTTATGACTGAATGTAGGCCACTTTTTCTAATGGAAATTCAGTTAAATAATAAGGAATGAATGTAATACAAGGTCGCTGCACTGTCATTTCAAGAATTCATGATAATTTAGTCACAAATTTGAAATTTGGCAGATAGCCTAATCACACCTATTTGGCCTCAAAATCTACAGCACCAAATATTGTGCACCATAGTCAGTCTTCTTTCTCTCTCATATGTCATCAAATACAACTTTTGAACAAATATATGGAATTTAAACTCAGAAATACACAAACATATAATATGAATCTGTTAATCAACATGTAAGTTAAGAATAGTGTATAATGAATGCCCATTAACTGTGTAATTTACCTTTTTCATCCCATATAATGCCGCACTGAGCACAGTGAACCATGTCATATGATAATGATGGATACGGAAGCTGTCGGGAGATAAAGTTGCCAATCAAAGCTGGAAGACCTCTCTCAAGAGACAATTGAACTTGGCTGCCAGAAGCTTCATACGCCGCGATACAAACCGCCATTATTTTCAGCGACAACAAATGAGCTCCAAAGCTACCAAATCCACAATCAATATCTAGTATATTTCGAATCTGTTATAAAGTGATTAATACATGTCAGTCATACACATACTACAGAATCAAAACAACATGGTCCTTAATGACAATCATAAAGAGAACATAGTCACCTAAATAACATAATCTTTCATAACTGTTACTATAAGAACTATTTTGCACAAACCCTGTCCATGTAAAACATTATAGTTGCCAAAAGAATAATAATGAGTAGACAATGGTGGACAGAAGACTTACACCAGCTTGAGGAAGCTCAATGTCACTTCCTAACCCTATCATCTCTGCAAGTTGGCGAACATAATCTTTCACACTGTTGAAGATAAACCCATCCTCCGAGTGAAAGGCGATTTGATTCTCTTCTAGTAGCATCAACCTAGTGAAATCACCACAACATTTTAAAAAATGACAACAAAATTGATTAAAAGGCAATCAATCATAATGAATCAGAATAGATAAAAGCCAAGCAGCCTTTTATCCAAATCCCCCTCAAATAAAAAACATTCACACAGTTATAAGGTTCTTAAATTGCTAAGAGCCTTCTGCAATCACATCTCGAAAGCATTTACTCATAACTTTCTGCTATTTTAAAAAATTGCCTTGCAACTACAACTCAATTTTATTAAACCATGGTTTTACTTTTATCCAAGGGGGTCAACTTCACACCAGTAATTAATTACGGTAAGCACCTTTTGGTCATACTTCCAGATGAAAGAAACTGATCTTTGGTGATCCTCACATTTGCGCTCCATATGACATCCCTCCCATTTGGCCACCGTAACGGAGTCTTGTATTCCTTGGGAGGCCGAACCAAACACCTCTCCGTTACCTTATAGACCTCGCAATGCCGATCAAACTCTTCACCCTCTTTAAACCCCGAAACCAGATTCGCAGACACATTATGACACGGCACGAAATTCTCCCTTTCTTTGCCGCAAAGTCCCACCTCCTTCTGCCTCGCGCCACCACTCGACACAATCCTCAACTCCAAGTAATCCACCGCCGCCTGCTCCTTTATCCTTCTGTAGTTTGAGTAGATTAGCGATTCCGCAGAACGAGGTCCTGAACCATCGGTGTTTGAAGAAGAAGAGGAAGAACTCAACACTGCAATCAGAGCGAGGAGACTTATCAGGCACAGGATTAACCAGTTCAGTGTCGGCTTAGGGCCAGTTATGAAGGACTGTTTCTTCATCCAAGAGCTTCTCATGTCCAAAGTCGTGAGTCACACACAGATTCAAGACGACGCTAAATTGTGAACTCCGTTAACCCTAGTCCTCTAACCATGACACCGGGAATCCACACTCTCGCTGCGAGCACTGAAACGACAACTCGCGCAATTGAAACGGAATGGTAGATTCGAACGCGAAATCGCGAAATCGGAGGCTATAGCAAGCGTGCGAAGGATCAATCGAATCGCCGGTGAGATTAGAATTTGAAAACGCAATGCGGATCCGATCGCGCGTGGCTTCGAACAGAAGAATTAGGGTTTCGGCTATGATGACGAAGAAGTAGAAGAGGAGTTTGAGATTGATTCAGAGATCCATTGATTCCGAAACGGTGAGAAAAAGAAGAGCATGTTTCGGTTGAGTCCACATTATTTTAGATTGTTACCTTTCCTTGCTTTCAAAACTACCCATACTTTCTCTTTCTTACTTTATATGCCTCCCAATCATTCATTATTAATCAGATTCAAAACAACAACATAATTACACCGTCTACTGTTCCTGCTCCATTAAGTAATGTAAAATTAAACAAGGAAAGTAAATTAGTGGTCTTAATTAATAACCTCTTCTACTTTAAACTTTTAGAATTAAATTAAATTACTACCATGTAAAATTTCTGTCTTCCTAATCTACCATTCATTAAAGAATAAATAAATATGCAAATTTTGTTGAAAAACATGTTAAGATCGTCATGCTAGAAACCGTGTTAACGGGTGTTAACATTTATTTATTATTATTATTATTAAAAAAATAGTTAATATATCAGTTTTTATTTTCTTAATCGATTAGGGTTTATCTTTTTAGAACTCAAGCAATGATGAAGAGCTACAAGGAATAATCCAACAGCTACAAATGGAGGCAATTCTGTTCGTTGCCAACCATGCACCAGTTGAAGACAAGAACGTGAATCCATTTACTTATTTGTTCGATGCAAACTGATTTTGTAAACGTTCTCAAGTTATGTTTAAAATAATTTATTCGATTAAATTTATATTTTAAAATTATGTACTTATATAAATATGGATTTTTTTCGAAGTTTGGTCCTTTATCAATACTAATAATAAAGAAAATATTCCTCCTTCGTTTTTTCTACTTTTTAGACAGTTTTATTCTTTATCTAGGTTAGTAATAAATAAAATACTCCGCTTTGTCTACATCTTTTTCTAGACAATTTTTGTCGTTTAATAATTATGAAAATCATTCTTCATTTACAAGTTATTATTACTAATAACTTCTATGATAGTTAATTAAAAACGTTCAAAGTTATGTACATATGATGTGATATATTTGAAATTTATTTAACGTTAAATACTGATCTCCCAATAAATAAATAAATAATATATATATATATATATATATATATATAAATAAACTCATAATTATTTTATTTCTCAATCATAATTATTTTATTTCTCAACTTCTCACTATCTCATTCGATAATCATTAGATAAGAATATTGGGTACCTGTACGATTTTGATAAAAAAAACAAAAACAAAAATGATCGCATAAATTAAAGAATATTTACTCTTTTAAATCACTCAGGTATTAATTTTTTATAATATATATATATATATATATATATATATATATATATAAATGTTTTATTGACGTAAACAGATCAAATTAAATCGATCGTACGGGTAAGTAAAAATATATATTTTATTAAATGTGGAATTAAATTTTAAGTACTTTTTCTCAAAATATGGTAACTCTTACTTTCTTTTAATTCATTCTAATTCTTTTTTTCTTTTCTTTTTTCTATTAATTGATTGGATTACGAAATCTTTAATAAATGTTATAATAATATTAATATTATTGAATTATGGGTATAATTTATTAAATACTATAAATTTATTCATATATAATCCTCTTATGCATGATTTAAAAGATATTATCTCTTGCATTACGTATCCGTATAATGTATAATGTATATGTACATATCTAATGATAGAAATATTCTATCCGGTTAACACCTCTTTAAAATATTAATAAGATATTATATTAATCAATTATTAATATTGAAGTAAAGATAAATTATTATCATTAGTTATTTTTCTTACTTAAAATATATTTGAAAAATATTAATGAGATATTATATTAATCAATTATTTATATTGAAATAAAGATAAATTATTATCATTAGTTATTTTTCTTACTTAAAATATATTTGAAAAGAAGTTTATATATTATGTTATTTTACCTATTTTTTTATTATTTGTTATTTTTTAAGAAAGAGAATATACATTTTACAGATTTAAGTATTAGAGTGTCTTCATATGTAGACCTTCTTCTTGTTCTTGGAAAGTTGTAATTCATCCTATATATATTCGAGCGAATATTGTTCGTAATCAGGTCAGATTCTCTAAAATGTTTGTACTCAAAGTTAATCATTTCTGAGTTGTCAAGTTATTTATTTATCGATTTTCTTTGTAATTTTCTTAGCAACAACATTTTCGCACCCATCGTGAAGATCATATCCATGTTAAGGCCTTGGATAGAGTTATTCAGCTCTACAAGCATGATAAAGGATATAGGTCAGACAAAGGATATCGGAGTTGGGATGAGACTGATATAGAGATCAGGATCGAGAAAGAGATTATTGCCAAGGAGATGACCAACCTATTGCAAATCATCTAGGGGTGATTAGAATGATAGACAAGTCAGATGAAGTACAAGTTCAACTTGGAAGCACCACTTGAGAGTCATTTATAATGTTAATATAACCCAAACCTTACAACCGAGGACGTTGCCTCCCATTCTTTTTTCTAATTAAGATTTCAACTTTCACAATCCTTAACAAGATTATCCTATAGTAATCACAATTTATATTGTTAATTGGAAAGTCAATAAGGCATTAATTGATCAAGGAAGCTCAGTGAATATCCTTTATTAGTGTGCTTTCACGAAGATGAGACTCTCACATGATTTAATTCAGCCTTATCCTTATCCCTTGGTAGGTTTCGTAGGAGAATGAGTCCATACCTGGGGATATGTTGATCTTTTGACTACTTTCAAGAAAATGGAAATGATTAAAACTTCATTGGTCAAATACATTCTAATTGAAGTTGATACTCCTTACAATGTGTTGATAGAACGAAAGACTTTAAATAAACTTGAAGTTATTGTATCTACTTTTCATATGACTATGAAATTTTCAGCGAAAGGAGAATGAATAATAAGAGTCAAGGTAGACCCAAAATAGGTTATAAAATCTTACACTCTTACCCTTAAATCTCGTCCTTATTCCCTACAAAAAAAAATAGAAGAATATGTCAAGACAAAATCTATAAATGATCACCAAGCTTTGATGAGTCAATAACTGAGCTCGAGCATGGAAGCAAGCTTGGACAAACAAATTGTATTAGAGTGGCGTTAAAGGTCGAGATTCAAAACCAAATCGAGAATATACGTCATCAAAATATTGATTTGTTTGCATGGAGTGCAATCGACATGACAAGTATTGACGCTAATTTTATGTGTCATAAAATTGTTATTTCACCATATACAAAATCTATTACTTAAAAAAAATGCTAGGTGAAGAAATATGACAAGTTGTGCAACAGGAAGTAGAAAAATTATTAAAAACAAATTTTATTAGAAAGGTAACTTACAGAACTTGGTTAGCTAACATAATAATAGTTAAAAAAGCCAGTGAAAAATGGCGACTATATGTCGATTATACTGAGTTAACTAAAACATGTTCTAAAGATTATTTTCTTTACCAAATATAGATTGATTAGTCGACAACACTTGGGATAAGAAATTCTTAGCTTCTTATATGCTTACTCAAGATATAAATAGATACCAATGTATCCACTAGATGAGGAATTTTTTCTTTTATTAATAAACAATGTATGAACAATAAAATAAAATAGAATAAAAATTATAATGTCTATAGGTTTGTAATTATATGAGTATCTTTACATTGTTTATTTTTTATATGATTATTGTTCATACAATACTATTATCTAAAAATAAAATAAAAATAAAAAAGTTATGCCTTTTGGGTTAAAGAATGTTGGTGCAACTTATCAAAGATTAATGGACAAAGTATAAAGTATTTAAAAACCTCGTAGGAGATATCATGAAGGTTTATGTAGATAATATGATAATCAAATTCAAAAAAATAATTAATCATCCGCAATATTTATAAAGAGATTTTTTTAGGTTAGGAAGCACAATATGAGATTATACCAAGAAAAATGTGTGTGTGGAGTGACAGGAGGACAATTTTTTGGATTTATGATAACCGGAAGAGGAATAGAAGCAAACCTTAATAAGTTTGAAGTAATTTTGAATATGAAAAATCCTAAAAATATCAAGGAAGTACAATAACTGAATGGAAAATTAATTTCACTAACACAATTTATTCCTAAGTTGCTTAAAAAGGCAAGGCCAATTTTTATACTGTTAAAGCAGCCAAGAAAATTGAGTGGAATGATAAATGTAGTCAATGACGAATCTTCTTGGGAACTAAGGGGGATTATTGTCTTCTTAAAGTTTTGTAACTCCTATATGTATTTATGATTTTGGTCTTCCCAAAATTAATGATCATTTAATATATTTGCTTATATATTTACAATTTTATCATTTTCCTCTTTCATCTTCTTTTATCATTTCATATTTATTTATTATTTATTAATAATATATTATTCGATCCCTCAAAATTAATGATCAAGATCCTCCACTGAAAGTAATGATATGTTTCGAGAAATTAAGAACAATATATCTTACCAATTTTATCAAGCACTACCTTAGGGACCCATATTTCATATACTTATGAGCCTCAGATTTAGCCATAAGTTTGGTATTAGTGAATGTAAAAAACAATCATTATGTATATTTCACTAGCAACATTTTACAACCAGTTAAGACCAGGCACCATGGAGAAATTAATTTTGGCCTTAATAAATTCAGCTAAGAGATTGAGGCATTATTTCCAAGGCTATCCAATAATAGTCAAACTGATTATGCTATAAATACTGAAATTAGCAAGAAAGATGATAACATGAACAGTAGAATTGTCCAAATTTAATATATCTTTTGAAAGTCGAGGACCAATGAAGGCACAATTTTTAGCCGACTTTCTACTATAACTTCCTCCTCAAGAGGCAAAAACTAATTGGTGGATTTTTTTTTTTTTATGTTGATGGGTTCCTCAAATAAGAGAAGAAGCGAAGCAGGGATCATTCATGCTACTAATAATCAAGCTAAGTATGAAACCTTAATTGTTGGATTAAGATTAGCCAAATAAATGGCAGTAAAATATTTTCATTGTAAAAGTGATCCCAAACTCATTACAGGACAAATAAGTGGAGAATTTCAAGTTAAAGAAACTTTTATACAAAAGTATTATCAAATAACCAAATCTTTGATAGAAAATGCTTGGATATGGAAGCAAGGATTCTTTTAGCAAGATATTATTGTCAAACACTAAAGTAAGGCGCAAAGAATTTCGTGAAAAAATGTCAAGTCTACCAAAAGTATGGACCAAGTATATAAGGCACCTCTAAAAGAGCTTCAAACTACTTTATCTGCGTGACCCTTTGCTTGGTGGAAAATTTGATGATAATTGAATATCTTGAAGATTTGATGAAGTCAAAGGATTTATGGAATAAGTGAAGATTTTTTGAAGTCAAAGGATTTATGGGATAAAGGATGTAGTGTTTAGTGAGTTGACATTAATATTAAATAGGTATAATTATCTATTCTTTTCTACTGCATGAGGTTCTATCATTTGAAAGAGATAAAAATGCCTCAAAACTTTTTAATCTGTTAAAAATCATTTTAATCAGCTTAATATGCTCTTAAGTCTCGATTTAACCGATATATTTAACTGGTATATTTATAGATTAATCGATTAAAATCAGCTAAAAACACTTCTGACACATTTTTAACTGATGTATTTTCGA